GCCGCTGCACAAAGCACACGCACCTAAAAGCCTCCAGCCCTTCAGTCCTGGTCCTTCCTGCGTTGCCGGTAGCCCGGTAGTTTAGTTCAGAAGGACTTTTCCAAGCCGGTGTCCCTTTGCCGGTAACCTCAATTTTGCGTTCAAGGGCTTGGGCTGTCTTTTTTGGATTTGGAGTTGTCGAGCGGCTCTGGAGCCTGTGCTTCAGAACCACAGTTTGCAAGATCGTCCGCGAAGGTGCGAGGTGAAACACTTCTCAAAACAGCACATGCAGGCCTCTTAAGACAGAAACCCAAACTCCGCAAGTTCTAGCTAGCGCAGAACACACACAAACCAGAACCTAACTGGACTCACGGTGGCCTGTGATGCCTTCCGCAAGTTATGGATGTCGTAGGACCTATGGCAGCCCGTGTGTACTTGTACAGCGTGTGTACGTACGTACATGGTGAACCAATAGTTCGACCTCAGCTGAGGTGGTGTAAGATTCCCGGACTTCGGCGGGTCATCTGCACGTGCTTGAAGGTCCCTCGTCGTTGTTGAGTTTGAGCTTTTGGTGAGTTTGGCTTTTGGGGTGCTGAGTCTACAGAGTAGATTCTGGTCTCGCTCAACAAAGCCCAGCTAAATGTCGCAGCTGGCACGAAGCGGCCTTACAGAAGCTATGGCTTTCGATCCGGGGCTTCGGGTCATAGGTGCAGAGCAGAGTTCTGAATGTGTCCTTCAGGGCTTCGGCCTCTGTGGTTTGGGAGGGGTCTGGGTGCAATTGAGTGCCTTTTGGGTTCTTCGGATCTTTCGACGTGTCAAAAGCACCAAAGGCTTCGGGCCCGTAGGCCGCTGAGAGGCTTTGAGGCTTTGAGTGGACACGGCCGGAGACTTCGCCCTGAAACGGTTCGGAAGAGTGCTACCTGACCAGAGAGCTCTCCCAGAGGAGCCCTAAACTTACGGATTGAGGAGTCCCTCACGCAAGTTTTGAAGCTCAACATCACTGAAAGCAGAAAAAGAGACCCAAAGAAGTCAGCCTCGTCCCCTCGGACCCTGGCTTCGCTCCAGGATGGCGTGCAGCCCGGCTCTGGGATTCGATCGAAGGAGAGCCTCCAAGAACAGGGGCCCTTTCTGAGCATGTCATTCCAAAGTTCAGGATACAGGGCTTGGGGCTTTCATGCTAAGACCCAAGCCTCTTTCTAGTACACGCGGCGACAGGCCTCCTGTGGGCGCCAGAGAGACCAAACCCGAAATCGCACACCTGGTTCTCCAATGTTCAATGGAGATGGGCAACTGTCCCGCGGAGACTCGCAAGGCTTGCCCCGACAGCGCCACAGCAAGTCACGGTTTCCGATTGGCAAAGGCTTAGCTCTCTCCTCTTTACCGAAACTTCGGAAACTTCGGAAGCGCCCAAGTGCCCCGTGGAATCTTCGATCCCAGGGGCCCGGGCCCCTTTTTTTTGCCTTTTTCGGAGGACGGGAAGTGCGCTTTGACGCTGGAGCAGTACGCCGAGGTCAGGAGCTCGGGGGCTCTTGGCCAAGCCTCGCAACGCTTGGCAAGGCTTAGCTTGGAATATTCTCTGCACCAAGACTGCGGACCCACTTTCCGGTTCTGTTCCAGTTGGGTTTTGTATGGGTTTGGAGGGAGACCTTTGTCGGCTTTGGGCTTTGCCTGCGAGCCTCGGCAGAGTCGCCAGGCACCTCAAGAAGTTTTGAGCCTTTGCGCCTTGTGCGTGGCATTCGTAGTGGGACTAGGCCCATAAACCTTCTGCAATCCAAGGGAAAGCCGTCCCAAGCCTCGGAACTTGAACAAAGCGTTCAAGACTTGTGAGGTGGGTTGTGTGAATGCCCGATACAGAATGGTTACCGCTTTGACCAGCCCTTCATCCAAAGCCCAGGTGCTGTCAGAGGGTGTCCCTTTGCTTACCCGCGGCAAAGCCTACGAAGTCTCGAGCCGCCTTTTCGCCGATGCCTGAGCTCTGCTCTGGAGTTGTCGGAGATTGGGACATGGAGGTTCGTTTGCAGTTGTGAATGAATCAGTGATGTCCTCGAAAGCTGAATGCCGATGTGCAGCAAGCGGAAGCAGAAGCAGACCCCAAAGCCTGTCAGGTAGGATGCTAGCTGTGGCTGTGGCGACCTTCCATGCCAGCAGCCCTTCACCCCTTCTTAGATCAAGTTTTAGCCAAACTGTTCGAGCGAACGGTCCAAATCAAATCCCAGTGTTCGCAACATATCACTGAAGCCGTAGACCGGACCCTTGAAACTGTTCCCGCTCTCACTCTGAGCCTCGCACTAGTTTGTTTCGGACGGCCACACGCCAAAAGCCACACGGGCAAACGCCCGGTGCCTGAAGTCATTCCGCCAAAATTCCCGGCAAAGGCAAGCGCCATGGCCAATCCAGTGGGAACAGCTGTGGCCCAACTCCGAGTTGCGCAGAGTCAGGGCTACATCCTAGTGCTTTGTGAGGCTTTGTACAGGACAACATGTCTGCAAGGATGGCGGACTATCTGAACTTCTGCATAAGAATGCGACTTTAGGGTTTTGCTTGACCCAGCGCACACACAGGCCAGGTGCCCTTTCGGACTGATTGAGGTCGGGCTTTCGGGTCAGCCTAGCACAGCAGACTCTTGAAACTGGTTGGAGTTTGACGGATTGTCGGCTTTTCTTCGTAAGATTCGAGCGGTTTGCAAGAAGGAGATGCTGGGAATTGGATGTGACCTTCAATAGATGTGCAGTTCTCTAACCAGAGTCCCTGTTTAGGAACCCAAAAGTAGTACGGCACCCTTACCAAAAAAAGGACCCTTAAAAGGGACCTTAAGAAAAGAGAACCGCCCCAGATAGTCGGGACCAGCCCCAAACAACCCCCGACCCCGGAACCAACATCATGCAGACTCGGCTGCCGCTGAGGTCATCAACTCCTTCAAGAAGGCACACAGAGGGCAGGGCGTCAGGGATGAAGCAAAATCCAATGTCTAAAATTTCATTTGTTGGCCAACGACAGCCTTTAGCTTGTTGTACGTACATGATACATGAAGCGGCTATTTATATCCCCAAACACTTTGGGGAGCAGATATCAGAGATTCAGTGATACAGCGACGTGCTCTAACGTTCATGCGATTGCTTCGCTGCTCTGCAGGCAGCCGAAGACTACCACCAACGATTGACAAACCTCGGACTGTGGACTTCCATTGCGCCGGTGGATCGAGATTAGAGCAGGGCGCAATCCCGCCCGCAATTCGCCAGCATTGCAAGCAAGGTGCAAGGCTGCTGTTCGGCGTTTTGGCTCCAGTATCGGAGCAATCTAAATATGCAGTTTGCCCTGCATCTCTACGTAGACGTAGACTCAGAATTGCCGCAGCTACCGCCGACATGCGCCTGGCAGTTGCAAGCAGCAAAAGTTTGGCTTTCTGATTTGGGGACGATGAAAGGCTTTGGTGGACAGCCTTTCAACCGTAGATCCAGAAAACTCGAACACCCACAGCCAGACTGGTAACCGCAGCTGAAGTGTCTTGCGCCTGCGCATGTATTCCGTTTCAGGCAAGAAAAATCAGTTTAACGCAAATCGACCGCTCCCAACATACATATGCTCGAAAAGCTAGCTGGGCAATGCCTAAATCCTTGTGGAGCGCATGCCCCCTAAGCGCATCGCCTACGATGTTGTTTCTATCCCTGTATGTTTCTAACCTCTGGCAACAGCCGGGGTGCAGTTATCACCCGTCTGCGCTTCGAACAGCCTTTATGCTCCAAGATCCTGGCTCGCAGTGGATCTGAAGTTTCATTGTTGTTTTGTGCTTCTTTCGGGAACATGTAGCTTGGATGTTTTCTGATGTAAGCTCTGAACGGAAGCATTGCATCTTATCCACGGCAGAGCCAATCTTCGGTGCGTCTCACGTGAGACACAGGGCCCACAGCTTCTCCCACACTGACTGGTTCAGGATGTCTCAGTTAAGCCTCACTTGCTGTGTAAATACTTTTGGCACACATTGCTCATTGCTTGGTTTGCGAGTTATAGGAAGACGAGAGAAGGCATACTTTCTTTCATTGCTGGAAGTTGATTCCTGAAAGCCCGAACCTTCCGTGGGAGAAGCCGGACGTCAGACTCCGGAAGTGACCCGGAGAGGCCAAACTCAACAAAGCCTCGCTAGAAAACTGCTCCACAGGTTTCCCTGTTTAGCTTCGGAATGCATCTTTGTTGTGAAAGAGTTAGGTGGGATTCTGGGGTAGGAGATCGGATGTTCTTTTGTTCACCTTCACGAAAAGCTTTCAGCTCGAAGACTTGGTTGTCAAACCACGCAGATCTGAATAAAGGCAAAAAGCAGTGCGCCAGGTATGGACAAGAAGGACAGCGCTTTCGGCAGCGAGGCGATGTGAGCCATGGCGACCTCAAAAAGTTGAGACGTGCATCCATTAAGGGCTTCTTCAAGGGTTCACAAGGCCTAGACTCAATTTGGGCAGCTTCCGCATGTTCAAGCTTCACCCAGGGTTTAGGATTTAGGCCGGTGATTTAAGTTTCGGGTTGAGGATTTCCGGTTCATGGTAGGGTTTATCTTGTTTGTTGTTCATGGGCTCCCAGAAGTGTGGCTTCTTCTTGAGGACCCGAAGGGAATTTCACAAGCTTCCCAAAACGCCAACCACCTACCTAACCATCTGAATTGCATCTGGCGAGCTCTGTGCCGCAAGTTTAAACCCTAAGCTGTAACCACAAATCGTGGCTTCTAAACTTAAACCCCAAGCCGACGACGTTTTACAGGGATCTTGCATGTCCTCGGCATCGCTCGCACTGTGACCTCAAGCGGCAGCGACCTGTAGAGTGAGTAGCTTGGACGAAATCCACAAGAAGAAGAAGAAGAAGTAGTAGTGGTAGCAGCAGCGGCAGCAGTGTCTAGGGCTTCAGGATTCGTGCACAAGCGTTTGGGATCGCGGAAAAAGCAGCGCGCTTAGCACAGCGCACATGGTTTTCTCATCGCAGGGCATCGCGCGTCTGCGTATTCGCCCCCTGATTTAAATTCAGGCAAACGCTGGAACATGAACCTTCGAGTTGCAACCCGAGAGGATATTCCGGCGATCGAGGCCTTGATGACGGCGTCGATGAAAGCCCTGTTGCCGAAATTCCTCGACGGTAAACAAGTCGAGCGATCTAGTGAAAGCATGGGGGTCGACACATTGCTCGTCGATGATGGCACCTATTTCCTGGTCTACATTGATGAGATGTTAGCAGGTTGTGGAGGCTGGTCACGGCGGCGCACGCTGTATGGTGGCAATCACACCCGTGGACGCGATGATGCTTTGGCTGATCCAGCGACCGAGCCGGCCAAGATTCGCGCCATGTTCACCCATCCCGATTTTACCCGGCGAGGGATTGGCCGCTTCCTCTTGGAAGCCGGCGAAGGCGCCGCCCGGGCCGAAGGCTTCAAGACCATGGAAATGGGCTCCACCGCGGCCGGTCGACCGCTTTATGAAGCTTGCGGCTATGAGTTTATCGAAGATCTGTCGCAACCGAGTGAAGACGGCATCGTGGTGCCCGTGCTGCGCTTGCGCAAAAGCCTAATCTAGCCGCGAGGAACAGTGCCGTTGTCCGTGCTTGTTGAACAGGAACAGGTTCGGGTCGCGTGGAGGTCAAGAGCATCGAGCCCCTCAAGCGCCTTGCCAGGCGTGCTGATCAGAAAATTTGTGCCGAACAGAACTTTCTGTGGCAGGTTGGGCTTCAAGAAGCGCACCAGCTCCAGCGGACTGCGTTTTGCGAAAACGGCCGAAGTGTCCATGTAGACATTCTCATGTGCGGTCCCCACGATGGCTTGCTTCATCTTGCTTCTCTTTCATATCAGTATCGGTTGCAAGCAACAACTTCTCGTGGCACTGGGCTCAAGCCGCGACGAACACAAATGCCAATGCCAATATGCTTACAACTACTGCTATAATGAAGGCTACTATCATTGTTCCTTCTATTAGCACGATTCTTTAAGACTTTTCTTTTTCCACGACCACGACAATAACTGCTATTATTTCTACGACGACGACTGCTACCACCACTATACTATGATGCAATTGATTTCGAGGGCAAACGCTGCGAAAAGCTTTTGCACCGTCCGAATCTTTGATGTGCTTGACGATGTGGTGCTTGTTAGAGTCTGTGGGTGCAATGAAAATTTGCATGCTGTAAGGCCCCTCAGAACGTTCTTTTCGACTTTGAATCTAGTGTGTTGCCACAAAAGCACAATCTTCAATATGTTTGCAAGTAATGGTTCTATCAGAAATAGTTTAATATTTCTTTGAATGGAATTGACTATTTCTCGCGGATTTTCACATATTTATCACCCGTATGAGTGATTATATGAATTGCGCGGTCACCTAAATCTTAGTTTTTTTTGTTACTTAGTAATATGAATTTGGTTAATTTATATGATATTTAAAACAAAATTTTTACAATTTTATTATTAAATATTGATATAAAATTATATATTTACTTGTAGAATACGATTAAATGATTTGATAAGAAATTGGGTTTTTGGAACGAAGAATTAGATATTTTTTATTTATTTCGAAAAAAATAAGAAATCTTTGGTCGGAATTTATTGGTAATATAATTTGATAAATTGAATTCTTTAATTAGGACTATATATCTTTGTTTTATAGCAGGATTTTATTAAAGAAAATAGGCTTAGCTCGATAAGATAATAATTGTCGAGGTTTGGATAGATCTCTAAAAGAAAATCGTCGTATTTCGAAAATAAAACGCTTTAGGAATATTGACAGGTGCCTAACATTATTTCGTCGAGATAAGATGATTTAGGGATTTGGATAAACCTCTATAAAGTAAAACCGTCTTATTTCGTTAATGTATACCGATTTTTAATTTCGGCTAAGCCTATATAAATGAAAATATGATTTTATTAAGAATGATAATTTCTAGTTAAAATAAAATTACGTTATTTTGCCGAGCCGAGATATTATTTGGACGAGAAAAACGATTTTGAAATTTACGTATTTCGTTAAAGAATAATGTATTTGTTTTGTCAAAATATTACGATTTAGGGTTTTATATAGCCTTCTTTTAAAAAAATTATCTTATATCGTCGAGATAGATATTCTCTAGACAAAATATGATTATCTCGACAAAAAGTCATCTTATCTCGACGATTCGAA